ATGTGCGGTTTGACATTATCGAGTATATTGCAAAATCCAAACAAAACACACCTACAGAGAGTGCACGCATACATGACGTGAAGTCTATTAGGTTAGATTAGTGTGCGTGCGCATTTAAAGTGCGTTCTTTCACGGCATGATTCAGTTTATTAAAATGCATCACAAAATTCAAGATATGGGGCCTTTACATCATTTCATATAGTTCAGGGGTAGGCAACGTAGGTCCTGGAGTGCCGATGTCCTGCAGAGTTTAGCTACAACCCTAAAAAAAACCTCACTTGTCTGTAGCCTTAGTAATCCTGAAGACCTTGATTAGCTTGTTCGGGTGTGTTTGATTAGGGTTAGAGCTAAACTCTGCAAGACAGCGGCACTCCGACATTGCCTATCCCTGATATAGTTAATCAATAAAGAAGAGTGCTGTTTCCTCCAAAAATCAGCATGATTACAAATGTGATATTGATTTTATACAACTGTTCAGTAAAAAAGAAGTTAATATTAAGAGACTTACGTTTTAGACACTATATTGCCTGTTTTTGCTCTATTTCGCCAAAAAAAATAATTCCAAGCACAGTCAAAGCGCTGTTTTGAGTCTCTGAGCAACATGAGGGCGTTTCGTTCCTGAATGAATCATTCGTTAAATGATTCGGTTTAATCGCAATGACTCACTTATTAACAGTGACTTGCTGCTGTCCACTGTAGTCCTTAAATTATCAGCACAGTAACACTCAGTCAAATTATTGTTATTGATAAAATCCCAGAAAATATAGAGATATAATTTTTTGTCAATATCGCACACCCCTAGCTGCCAGCCGTTCGGTGCAACTGGCAGAGCTGAATGTAAAATTTAACACCGCATACTTCGCTCCATAGTTTAGCTCCAACTTGCCTCAACACACCTGGCTGCCAGTTTCTAGTATGCCTAAGACCTTGATTAGCTGGTGCAGGTGTGTTTAATTGGGGTTGGAGCTAAACTCTGCAGGACAGTGGCCCTCCAGGACCGAGTTTGGACACCCCTGGCATACACCATCCTAACCCTCTCTAAAGAAGAGCTTAACTTTAGGTTGTTTACAAAACAAATCTGTCAGTGTTCTTTTCATTTTCTCTCTTCTTCAGCCCTTTCTTTTTCTCGCGGTAGTTAGCGTAAAGCAGCTACTGAGAGATTGACATCTAATATTAACCAATACAAAATCTGCATTAAAGTTAAGAATGTAAGGATAAAATCTGTTAATATATCATTTGTAGTTGTGATGCTCATACATTTTTGATGAGTGCTCCTAAATTTTTGCTGGTGCTCCTAACTTTTTGAAGTTGGGAGCACCAGTGCTACCAAGTAAAAAAGTTAATTTCGAGCCCTGCTGTTACAGCAAAACTAATACTGTTTGAAGCTTTATAACATTCAGCCTCATTAATGAAGAATAAACACCAACCTGTTAGTTCTTCAGTATCTTCAGTGTGTTTGATTCTGCAGGGTTCTGGATCTCTCATCTTCGCTATGTCCTCTTTAAACTCAGTCTTTACAGATTTCAGCACTTCCTGATGATTAGATGCTCATCTTCACTTGTGAACTGATGGAGATATTCCAGCATTTATTGATGAATTACTGTGGGAGGAGCTTCACTGATGATGTGTTGCAGTGGGCGGAGCTTCACTACCAGTGAGCATGTGGGAGGAGGAGCTTATCTGCCAAAATAAAAAATACATCACTGAGTTTGTTTTTATAGTAATATACAGCAGAAAATAAATGTAATGCAAATTGAAGTATAAAGAAAACAGTTGAAAGCATAAACTAGCTTTTCAGAGCTTGGTAGATGAGTAACTATTGTATTTGTATTATTAGACAGATAAATACATATATTACAATTAATTTTATATTAATTGTTTTATCATTTATAAATATTAATAATATATAGGCATAATAAATTATCCTATCTGTCTAGGGCTGTCGCGATAACCGCAATATGAGCTATTGACGAGCAATCCACAGAGGAATGCAATAACCGCAGCAACCGCGATTTTTGCCAGTTTTATTTTTTATTTTTAATAAGTGAAAACGGTTATGCCCTTCTCGTTTTACACTTCATGCACGTGGACTGAATATTAAACAAGTTAATGTGTACCATGCTGATTTGTACAGAGATTCCGCAGATTTGCACTTAACAAGCCTAAACAGACAGTGAATGAGAGAGAGATTGACTGAGTGCGTGCAATTCCTTGCTTCTGTCCGCCAGGCCGAGTCATTTATATTTGTGAAAATAGGTTGTCATGTCCAAGGAAAGCGAATTCTCTGTCTTAGCATTAGGGCTGTTGCAATGAGGGAATTTCCCTTGCGGTCATTTTGAGTGGCTCAGTAGCGCTGTATGCGGTTTTACCGCCATAAATATACATCCATATGTGTAATTCGTGTGTTTGTGTTACGATATAACGAGGTCATATTCAGAAGACAATTCATTTAGCATCTTTACACTTTCAACAATTTGCTCTAAAGTAGTACAACAAATGCAAATTTAAAATAAGGAACCGTGTTTTGTTTTGTAATACTGTAAACAACCTCATTCAAAGTTTCCACCATGTTCGATTATCCTCTTCTTCTTCTTTATGATGTATCCCCTCGCGTGGCCTCCTGGGATAGAAAAGTATCCATCTGCAAGCACTCATGAAGCTGGCAGAAGCAGTAGGACATCCGGGAACTTCTCGACTACTCTTTTATGAATACTGAGGTTTTGGACATACTATTCGCTCGACTACTGCTTTTCGCCTACTATATAGTAGAGAAGTAGGCGGATTCGGACGCAGCCAATGTAACATTCATGAAACCGTACTCAATGGAACGCGCACATGTGACTGGGGCTAGTGCCATCTAGTGGTTGCTGATTTTCTTTGGCTCAGCTGCGCGTGGATAAAGAGCTGTGTGTGTGTGTGGATTAGGCAAGGCTAAAAGGGCTAAAATTCAAATGAATCAAATAGAATCGACTCAGAAGAGACGTGAATGAATGCACGTGCGTCGCCTGATCCACAAATGCACATTTGAATAGCTACATGCACAAATTATGATACTTTAATACAAACTATAACATTTGTATTCACAAATATGTCTCTATTTGAACATAATACAAACTGTAACATTTGTATTCACAAATATGTCTCTATTTGAACAAAACGCTGCACATTAATGTAATTCTTAACTCTGCAGACACCGGTTGAAAAGCATTTGTTTCAGTGTAGTGATGCACATTTGCGAATTTTTCAAATCGTGTCCACGTTAATGAGTTGCACTGGGCCTTGTTCATTGGTAGTTGTGTGTGGGGGGGACGTGAAATGCTGTAAACTGCCTTGTGCCATACACAAGTCTCAAAATCCAAATGAACCGAACAAGATCGACTCGAACTAGACGTCAATTAACGCACGTGTGTCACCTGATCCACGTATGCACGGATTCCTTTTTGCACGAGCAATTTATATTATATTAATGCAGAACAGAAATTTTTTTATTCGCAAACATGTCTGTATTTGTAAAAATCGCTGCACAATCATTTAATCCTGAATTCCACAGACTCAAATTGAAAGGTATTTGTTTGTGGTTATTAAGATACATGTATAAAATGTATGCAGTACATAATTGTGCGTGCGTGCATCTATTAATAATTTTGAGTCTAATATCATCCCATATTGGAAGGCCGCGTCGAGTTCAGATGTTCTACTCGCCAGGTCTTTGTGCGATGAAATTATCCCAGGAGGGATTTGCTCGTCTCTCGGCACTTATCTTTGCACTCTTTAATTTCAGCGGCATTGAACTCGACAGCCTTGGAAATCTCTGTGATCATGACACTGTTCCTTCGCATTTGGTTCGCCATTTCTTCTAGTTTTTCATCTTGTGAGTCAAAGCGAGTCGTCAGGGAAGTTATGGCTTGCAGAAGAGTTGCATTAGTGATATCCTCATCGTGAGGCCTTAATTTTTTCAAGGCGTTTGATTTAGTAGGGGTGAAATGTGACGAGTCACGGCGTTTATCTGTTTGAGCGGACTGTACCTCCATTTCTGAGTCGTCCGAGACCGAAGCTGGGGTCGAGCCACGGGCCGGAGGGATGATAATCTTCGGGAGGCTAGTTTGCTGTGAAGATATAACATTTGTATTCACAAATATGTCTCTATTTGAACAAAACGCTGCACATTAATGTAATTCTTAACTCTGCAGACACCGGTTGAAAAGCATTTGTTTCAGTGTAGTGATGCACATTTGCGAATTTTTCAAATCGTGTCCACGTTAATGAGTTGCACTGGGCCTTGTTCATTGGTAGTTGTGTGTGGGGGGGACGTGAAATGCTGTAAACTGCCTTGTGCCATACACAAGTCTCAAAATCCAAATGAACCGAACAAGATCGACTCGAACTAGACGTCAATTAACGCACGTGTGTCACCTGATCCACGTATGCACGGATTCCTTTTTGCACGAGCAATTTATATTATATTAATGCAGAACAGAAATTTTTTTATTCGCAAACATGTCTGTATTTGTAAAAATCGCTGCACAATCATTTAATCCTGAATTCCACAGACTCAAATTGAAAGGTATTTGTTTGTGGTTATTAAGATACATGTATAAAATGTATGCAGTACATAATTGTGCGTGCATCTATTAATCATTTTGAGTCTAATATCATCCCATATTGGAAGGCCGCGTCGAGTTCAGATGTTCTACTCGCCAGGTCTTTGTGCGATGAAATTATCCCAGGAGGGATTTGCTCGTCTCTCGGCACTTATCTTTGCACTCTTTAATTTCAGCAGCATTGAACTCGACAGCCTTGGAAATCTCTGTGATCATGATACTGTTCCTTCGCATTTGGTTCGCCATTTCTTCTAGTTTTTCATCTTGTGAGTCAAAGCGAGTCGTCAGGGAAGTTATGGCTTGCAGAAGAGTTGCATTAGTGATATCCTCATCGTGAGGCCTTAATTTTTTCAAGGCGTTTGATTTAGTAGGGGTGAAATGTGACGAGTCACGGCGTTTATCTGTTTGAGCGGACTGTACCTCCATTTCTGAGTCGTCCGAGACCGAAGCTGGGGTCGAGCCACGGGCCGGAGGGATGATAATCTTCGGGAGGCTAGTTTGCTGTGAAGATTTCCGCATTTTGAGAACACAAAACACATATACGGTGTTTAAATGCTATTTTAGGCAGGCGTAAGTGAGACTTGTGTACGTTTCAAGACTGAATTGGGAGATTAGCTAGGCAGCTCAGTAAAAACACATGCGTTCAGCCCGCCATTTTAACCCCCTGCTTTTTTGATGATCCCGATTCCCGCCTCGCGGCGATGACGTCATCACTAGCACGCGGTCACTCCGTCAGCATCGAGTGTTCTGAGGAGAGGAGAGCAGAGCACAGTATTTCACTTATTTAACTGTTAAATACACTTTACACTGTTTGTTTATGCAACACATACGAGCTCGTTTCTGCCTTGTTTTAATCGTGCTGATTCTGCATTTGCTAACTTAAAGAAACATGTGAGGAAACACGTGTGTTATTGTGTGTTCGTGTGAATGATTGTGTCGATGTTTGGAGTGATAATAATGTTGCTGTTACTGAATGTCTCGTGATCTGTGAGAGGAATGAATGCAAACATATATCAAGTTATGCTGCTGCGATTTAATTTATGGCAGAATTTATGGATTCTTTGGCAGATCAAACTTGTTATAGTCACTTTACATGGTTATAATTACTTACAAACACTGATAAATACATCTTTGAGCCCAATTAATGAGCCACGTGGGACATTTTAAATCTGTAACGTTACAGATTTTTTATATATTATAAATCTGTTCATGTATAGATTTAAAATGTCCCATGTGGCTATGAAATGCATGTAATGTGTGAATTATTACCACATGATATTGCAGTGTTACTGAGTGAGCTCTCGTCTCTCATCTCCTTCACCTACATAAATGCTTAAATTATTTATATATATATATATAAGTAACTGACTAACGTTATTTATTTTTTGGGCCTTATTTATTGTTGATTTTGGCAAATCTGATTATTTCACTCAGACATTCATGTCCAGTGAAGCTCCTCCCACAACAATCACACATTCAGTAACTCAGCAATAAATGCTGAAGTGAAGACGAGCATCTAATCATCAGGAAGAGCTGAAATCTGCAGAGACTGAGTTTATTAAAGAGGACAGAGAGAAGATGAGAGATCCAGAGCCCTGCAGAATCAAACACACTGAAGATACTGAAGAACTAACAGGTTGGTGTTTATTCTTCATTCTTCATTAATGAGGCTGAATGTTATAAAGCTTGAGGCAGTTTTAGATCTGGATTTATTGTAATAGGAAAACAATCTTTAGAGCTGTTTAATAATCTTGCTGAAGCCGCAAACAATAAGGGACACTTCTATCTTGCAAGAGTCTCTGTTTTTGTATGCAGTAATATTAGGACTTTTGTCTGTGATGCATTTGTGTTATTCGCAGAGGAGCTACAGAGCGCTCAACATGAAAGCCCTGTTTAATTGTGATGATAGAGCAGAGAACTAAACAATCAAACATCTGCTTACACTTTAGGCCTGTGGCTGTGATATTAAGCTAATTTTATTGTTGATTTTAAGATATCAGATAAAAGTATTAAAAACTAGCTGTGTTTAGCGCAGCTACTTTCCCTTCACAGCGGTGCACATTAGTTTTTCCCTAAAACCCAAATTAACGTCAGAACATGAACACCTGGAAGAAAATCTGATGTGTGTGAATATATGCAGTCACCTTCTGAAGATTGAGCCAGCAATGTTAATCAAACAACAAAATCACTCACAGCTCATGTTGTTTATTACTGCATATAATTCATTAAAATAGAA